AGGGAATAACGACGCCGCCATCCAATCCCAACTCAAACACCTACGCGCACAGTTCGCTCTCAAACAACTTGGAAATATCTCCCTCTTCCTCGGAATTCAGGTGACTCGCTCTCCCACTGGTTTCTTTTTATCCCAATAACACTATGCTACGAAACTTCTCAATGACGCAGGGTACAAGGATTGCAAATCAGCCCCAACACCAATCACTCCCGACAAGAAGAAGAAAGAGCCCAACCTCCAACCTTTCAACGATCCATCGCTCTACCGGCGTCTAGCCGGATCGTTACAATACCTCTCCATCACGAGGCCAGACATTGCCTTCGCCACCAACCGCATCTGCCAACACTTGCAGTCCCCCAACGAACACAATTTCAAAGCCGTGACTTGCATACTCAGATACATCAAGGGGACTACCTCCTTCGGACTGCCTATCACAAACGGAACACTTGAACTACGAAGCTTCTCCGACGCCGACTGGGCGTTAGATACCACTGACCGAAAATCTGTCTCGGGTTTCTGCACATTTCTCGGGCCTAATCTCATTTCTTGGACTGTTAAAAAGCAGGCCACTGTCGCCAAGTCTTCCACCGAAGCAGAGTACAGATCCCTCTCCGCTGCCGCATCAGATGTGCTTTGGCTTCGATGTCTCACGGCCGAACTGGACATGCCTCAATCCTCCCCAACTACAATATACTGTGACAACACCTCGGCAATGGCTATTGCCAAAAACCCGGTGTTTCACGCCAGAACAAAACATATCGAGATTGACTACCATTTTATTCGTCAGCAAATCACCTCCGCCAACATTCAGCTGGCACACATCTCCTCCAAAGATCAGATTGCGAACATCCTCACCAAATCATTCTCGATCGCTCGATTTAACGAACTACGAAACAAGTTAACCACTCGGACAACGACCGCTTAACTTGAGGGAGGCTATTAGCATGTAACGGTCATATTAGAACTCTTTATGTTTGTTATTACTTATTTAACCTGTATCAGGTCTATTAATAGAGACCTTTGTTAACTTTTCTAATTAATGAAATTACTCTTTCTTTACATTCTTCTCTGTCTCGTTCTCCATCCTCTCTTCGTCTCTTCTTGCTCACAAACTCAACCAAAGGCGTAACAGCTACGGGTGATTAAAATAGAAAACCATGCTCTGCTAAGTCAAAGTTACGGCTCATTGAGGTGATCTAACGAATGAAATTCAATGCATGAAATAAAGCTGATCTTATCTCATAAACAAGAAAACAAACCACCATTGGTTACAGGTCGACCGAATCCCCTCCAACCCAAAACACCGAAGAACCAATGTCTAAAAAATGGAGAACATGGACAGGAGCTTCTGTACTGCACTAAATACGAACGAAGATGGAGAACTCACAAACCTGAAGAGAAGGGTGACGAAGGACGAATTCTTGGCGAGAGGGGCGACGCATTCGGGTAGGATCAAGAGTCGAGCGGGAGTGGAGAGGGTTCGCGCGGGTGGAGAAAGCGTAGCAGCTGTTTGGTTTTGGATTGGACTAAAATTTAGCGTCCATAGGGTTAGAAATTAGGATTTAATTTTAGTGGGGTTTAGTAAATTTAATGAAATTGGAGGGTATTAAATTTCAAAATTGTTTGATATGATCTATGTTAATTTTTTATAAATTTTGAGAAATTGTTTGACAACTTATTTCAGAATTTAAAGTTGTTGGTTCATTTAGAAATTAAATTTAATGTGTTTGAATTTAATTTGCTATCTAATTATGATTTGCTTATCAACTTTAATTTTAATTACATTTAAAAAAATTAGGATTAATTAATATAATTATAAATTAGTTTAATTATTATTAATTATCAAATTAGAAACTAGCTTAACTAAACCCTAATTAATTAAATATTTAAGTATTAAACTAATTTAATAACTAGGAAAAATAATTTAACTGAAGATGTTGTTATTGTTGGATCGGAAGTTGCAATAAGTTTCCCACAAAGGTAATGATATTTCTTCCCTTTGAGCACTTCTTCCGCAAAAATCTGAGTCCGTAAATTCGTCGAACAACGGAATTTACTAAATCCCAAATTTACGCAATCCCAATTTTACGCCATAAATCTGTAAAGCCGAGATTTATGGGACAATAAGATTTATGACGCCTTAGAAACCTTTTTGGCGGGATTTAACATAAATATGAGCGTAAATACGATACCAAACAGCCCCTTGGTGATGTAAATTTGGATTTACTATAAATATGGATTTAGGGGATGTTTGGTTGTGTGAAAAATAAATGTAATGCATGATAAATGTTTATTTATTTATTTATTTATTTGTTGGTGTTTGGTTGATCACAAATATAATATAAAGTAGTTTCGTAATTTATTCAGAACTCCCATTTTAAATCTCTTTTTGCGTAAAGGAAACCCGCTCAAAATAGAGCGAGAAAGTAATTCACGAGGCAATAGCTTCTTTAGCTCATTCATTCCTACTCAACTTTACTTCTCAGGAGCCATCTAGGGCATGATTTTCATCTTCTATGTGTTTCCATTGTCGTTTGACTTCGTTGCTTGCTTGTGGAGTCAATTCTTCGGCTCCATTATTGTTTGACTTCGTCCTCGGGATGGCCGCCGTGAATTCTGCTTCTCGATCTCCGGTGAACAATTATATCGATTAGCCTTGCATCTACTTCGAAGTGGCAAATGGAACGGGCTTGATTGAAGCGACAGATTGGATGAGATGCTCCTTTGCTCATAGATATGCCTTTCCACTTCTAAGCAACACAATATATGTCACTCCGTGTGGGAACTTGAAGCCGCAGGATGGTCGGACCACCTTGTGCAAAAACTTGGGGTAGCAAGGTGCAACTCTCTTCCATGTTTGATCAGTTCGGGGACTTCAATAGAACAAATAAAATCAAGGTTAGGAATAGGCACACTATGTGCTTGATTGAATGACTTATCTAAACGAGCCTCTGCTTTCATTTTACTCTACATACACACAAACAAAAAGAAAAAAAATGTTCTTATGCATTCACTTTACAGACAAATAAACAACATCAAGTAGTTATTTACACTACATTCACTTTAGAGTCAACCAAACAACCTCTTAGTAAATTTTGAGGGTGTTAAAATTTGAAAATTGTTTAGTATGATATGTTAAATTATAATAAATCTCGAAAATTTTCCTCGACGTCATTTCTTTCAGGCTGCTATGGCTTCACATGATGTGCGTGCATCGCACGACAGAAGCTCGCTCGTTGCTTCACCTCCTTCAACACCGTCGGATATGAACTCACGACGGGAGCTCACATGTTGCATACTGCATAGGTAACCATATTCGCTTTCTCCTTCCTTCAAGACTTCCAAATTGGGAGCTAGCTCGCTTGCAAGCTCATAAATCCCATTGTAAATATACATATAATCCTATATTTATAGTTCACTTGGAATATTTTAAACAATCGTGTATCGTGTAGAACCTTGATGCTCATGAGCATGAAGAACTCAGATCTTTATATAATTTTAGATCTTTGAAAATCGCTTAAATTTTCAATGATCTTATGCATGGTTAACTAGTATAGTACATGCTAGCTATGATTATCTACTGAGTTTATCATATATATTCAAATTATTAAAGTAAATTTTCATATAAATCCTATGATAAATAAATAAATGAAAGAGAATAATTCATCTACAGAAAAAGGAGATCAAATAAAAGTATGTATAAACTGATTATGCATATATTCAAATTGAATATATATATATATATATATTTCTCCTTCCTTGAAGACTTCCAAGTTGGGAGCTAGCTCGCTTGCAAGCTCGTAAATCCCATTGTAAATATATATAATCCTATATTTAGTTCACTTGGAATATTTTAAACAATCGTGTATCATGTAGATCCATGATACTCATTGAGCATGAAGAACTCAGATCTTTATATAATTCTAGATCTTTGAAAATCGCTTAAATCTTCGATGAGCTTATGTATGGTTAACTATTATAGTACATGCTGGCTATGATTATCTACTGAGTTTATCATATAGATTCAATTATTAAAGAAAAAATTCATATAAATCCTGTGATAAATAAATAAATGAAAGAGAATAATTCATCTACAAAAAAAGGAGAAAAATAAAAGTATGTATAAACTGATTATGCATATATTCAAATTGAAAATGTGTTTTAGTGGCTCTTCAATTATATGTTAAGTGTTATATGTTATTGAAAGAAATACATTAACCATCTGATCATCTATTTCCAACTCATTAATTCGAGTATCCGGGCTGAATCATGACAAAAGTGATATCAGAGCCTAAATAGGATATGAGTAATACTGAAAAAGTCATTAGGTTGATTATTGAGTTTAAAAAAGTTGATATGTTATAAACTTATGAACTTTTATAAGACAATTTTATTTATTTCAAATCTCTGATTGATCCTAAAGAAAATGAGGAATTGGTTGTACCAAGTATTGCTCTTTATAATTTGCTACACTGCCCAAATGATGACAACATTAACTCTGTTGAATCATAATTCAAGATCTCGACCATCAGTAAGTGGTAATAACACTATCATGTTTATGGATAAATATTTAGAGTTATTTCATAATATGATATCATCATTATTTAAAGGAGTAGAAAGATCAATTGAGGTGGAAAACTGGTTATTAGAGAAATATTCTGCCCATATGAGAGAAATAATTTATTGGTGACATTTTCACTTGATGGTGAGCTTGAACAGTGGTGTAGAGGCCAACATCAAAATACATTTTGAGAGATACATTGTATCCAAATTAAAAAAGGATGAGTTAATTGGAGTGTTCATAAATTGGTTTGTGCCTCTTATTTATGTTTTTTATATATGAATTTTTTTATAAGTGCGTGCAAAGTAGGTTTCATATCTCTTTATTACGTCAAGTGTTGTTGGGGTGTACCACCTTCTAGAACAGGGAGTGACCCAATGACATTACCATCAAACTAGTTGAGTTTGATAGTAATATTTTTTTCCTTGACTACACTATTATGCTTTTTCATTGAAAGCAACACTAAATTTATTACTATTATCCAGATATGTACTCTTATTTATGTTTTTTATATGAATTTATTTATAAGTGAGTGCAAAGTAGGTTTCATATCTCTTTATTACGTCCTGTGTTGTTGGGGTGTAACACCTTCTAGAAGAGGGTGTGACCCAATGACGAAACCATCAAACTAATTGAGTTTGATAGTAATATTTTTTTTCCTTTACTACACTACTATGCTTTTTCATTGAAAGCAACACTAAAGGTATCAAACAACATAAAAAAAATAATGACGGAGATGCTTTATAAACAAGCCTTCATCTTCTATCAAATTTTTTGAATGCTCGCACCCCTACACCCTCCTTTCCCTCCTTCTCTTTTATTCCAATAAATAAATCGCACTAATTCCCCCTTCTTCTTCTCAAGTTTTTTATTTTATTTTATTTTTTATTTTTTTTTATTTTATTTTTTGTTAAACAAAGTTGAATGATGGGTTTATACCAATTGAAACATGGGACATTGACCTTCAAAGTGCACACATATGAAACTATGAAAGTTGATTGGATGACCCCCAAAGTGGGATCCAAGCTTGAAGAAAGGGTTGGAGTTATAGTCTTTATGACTATTTTCTTGTTAAGCCAAAAAAGCTGGTTGAGAAAATTTTAAATCATTAATGTGGTTATCCATAGCTTCCATAAAAACACTCTAATTATTGTTATGTCTTCATAATGGCTTTGAGCTTGTCATCATAACGTTGAAAAGATTGCTAGATTTATGTAAAATGGCATTCGATTTGCATTTGGAGTTCCCACAAAGTGTCAGCTAGGGCATGGTTATTCAAGACCAAGTGCTCATAAAAGAAGAACATCGATATATTAAAGATATTATTATGTGCGAACGCCAGATTGTTCGGAGGCGAATCAGAGTGCACCACGTCGCCCTGGTACACAGCGGTACACAACCACAATACACATTAAAAGGATGATGCGGCACACTCTGATTCGCCTTTGGACAACGTCCGGTGTCCGCATAGAATATTTTTTCAAAATCTCAAATGAATTCCAACTGCTAAATTGAATTAGTAAAAAAAAAAAAACATGCTTAAGTAAACATTGATTGTTTCTCCTAAGAGATTTTACATGATTTAAATACTATGTTCTTTTTATATAAGGCAAAATAATTTGATTTCACTATTAATTATTTAATTAATATAATTAATTATCAATATTTTAAATTATTTAAAGTATGATGGCTTAGATTAATTTAGGTCGTCTAGGGTTTTATTTTCATTTCTTCCCTGTTGCTTCGATACTGTTGCTTTTCCTCATTGTCATTTCTTTGTTTATATTTCAGCTTTGCATGCTCCGGCGTGAAGTTTGAAGGCTTCACGCGAACCAGTGTGTTGAAAAGAAGCTTCTTCGCATTCTTTGACGACGTAGGATTAGAAGTCACGACGGGGGCTCGCTCAAGGTAACCATCTTTATCCCTTTCCTGCGCATCGTTGGCCAAATCTCATAAATCCGCCGAATTCCAGGATTTAGTAAATCCGATATTTAGGCCAAAAATTGGCTAATGGAGGATTTATCTAGCTGTGAGATTTATGGGAATTTCATACCTTGCATAAATCCCGTTGCCAAACAGACCCTTAGCATGCTTAAAATTGTTTGGTAGAATATAAGATTTAATTTAGAGGTTTTTACAGCCATACCACTTTATATTACCTATTTTACATATTTAACACCTAAAACATAAATATTTCATTTACACCACCCTAACACAAATCTAACCTCAAATATACCACTCCGTCATTTATCCAGTCACGACGTTATCCCGACATTGCTCTTTCTCGCGCTTGCTCTGTTCGGTGTTTTCTCTCTCGCGGTTCAGCAGCAAAGTTCTGCGCGCTCTCTCTCATGCGGACGAAAAGAGGGAGGTGCATTAACAAACCCTCTGCGCGCTATCTCTCTCGCGGTTCAGCAGCGGAGCTCTGCACGCTAAACTCAAATATACCACTCCGTCAGCGGAGCTCTGCGTGATATCTTGCAAACCTGCTGTCGGTGGGCGAACCAAAAGAGGAAGGGAGGAAAGTTTATCTTGCAAACAGCAAAGTTTATCTTGCAAACCTTGCTGTCGGTAATGTAGGTAAATCAAATTTTTTATTTAAGCATGATTTGGTTTGTTAATGCAGTGAAATCAATAGTTAACAAGTTTTATTTTCCTGCATCCCAAAGTTTGGGCTTTATAGTTAAAGTTTAATCATTTATTTGTTTGTTAATGCAGGTCCCTAATGTTAGCACTGGAGAACAAAAAAAGGAAATATTGGTATCATTTAGATTTGGAGGTTTTTGGAGTAGGAGAAGGTACAATGGCGGCAAACAAAGAACTGTTAAATTTGAAAAAAGGCTATATCAATATTTGCAAGCTTAGAACATAAATAGATAGAATATGTTCATGGCTCAAAGGACATCGGTATATTATGTATTACCACATATGCAGAACATCGCCCAAATAATATAAAATTCTTACTACTGACAATGATGTGAATGAGTTGGTTAATCAATTGAAAGGGAATGTACGTGTTGAGATTGTAGTTGCAGTTCAAGAAGATGATGGAAATGAGCCAATTTCAAATCCTATGGAGGTTGTAAGTGTAGACGAGATGGTTGAATGTTCCATTACAAACATGGGTGTTAAAGATTTAGAAGTTGGCACACTCTTCAATGATGTAATAACTTTCAAAAACGCTCTGCGATTAATAGCCATTAGAAATAACTTTGGTGTTATAATTAAAGCAAGTGATAAGAAACGTGTTATTGCAACATGTTCTTACCAAACATGTCAATGGAGAATTCGGGCTTCCCTTTGTGAAGATACTCAGTCTTTCCAAATAAGGAGAGTAGATGGAGTACATACTTGTCCTGGTGTTAATCGTGCAGGGAATAAACTCGCCACATCTGCTTGGGTTGCTAATGAAATTCAAGATTTAGTAAAGAGGCACCCAGACATTCCACCGAAGGAAATCAAGAGCAATCTAGAGAAAGAATATGGTTTATCAGTACCTTACATGAAGCTATGGAGAGCAAGAGAACAAGCCCGTGATGCAATTTTCGGTTCAGTTGATGATAGCTACAAATGGGTACCAACATTGAAAGCTTAATTACTTGAAAGAAATTCCGGGTCACATATAACATACACATTTGATAGTTATGATCATGCCTTTCAAAGATTTTATGTAAGTTTCAAAGTGTGTGTTGATGGATTTCTTTGGGGGCATCATCGAAGTACTTGCAAGAACTCGTTGCAAAAACAGAGTGACGAGGGCACATATTCTACACAGGATGGCATCACGAGACGAGATAAGTTGGCAAGCATAAGGAATGTTGATAACAGTGAATTTGAAGAATATGAATATTCATATCTTGATGGTTTATAAATGCATCCATGAAAAGGTTTTTGTATGAATCATTTTATTTTTGCATGAAGTTTTGGATTTTGTATGAAGTTCATTTTGTATTAGAAAATGTTTATTTTTGCATGAAATTCTAGGGTTCAACTCTGAACAGCAAAAATGTTCAAATTCTGATACTTCGTTCACGTTTAATAGAAAAAGAGCGACAATGGACCAACTATAAGTTGATTGCTGAACAACAAAAATGATTCTCTTCCAGTTTATTCGTTCACTTTTTTCACTGAGTTAGTAGAGTTGATTTTGCCCCCCATTTCACTAGTATGATTGCACTTTGATAGAATGATTAGCTGAATAGCTTTTGTATAATAATATGATGACATAGAATTAGGTATTGACAGGAATATACCAAACAACACAATTTAATCAAAACATCATTTATACCAAAAGTTTGTGAGATACAAGTTCTTTAATGAAGATACAACACTTACGCAAAATACACTTACACACTACAAACACAACAAAAGTTACGCAAAATACATCCTAATGATGTTCCATTACAAACATTGTTACGCAAAATACATCCTAATGATGATGTCGATAGCAACTAACACAATAAAGACTTTCATTTGAAATATGAGCAGGTCCAGCTTCTTCAAAACCTTCTCATCTATGCCTCTCCAAGCATAATGTGTGTCAAGAGAATGCTCTTCTAATTCATCTATCCATTTAAAAAAATTGCAGTCGTCATATGTCCGATTATGAATGCACCTATAAAATTGCTTGCCTCGATTAAGTCCTCGGTAGCAAGTTTACACTACACACTTCAAATGATAGTGACTATAAACTTGAGAATGCTGCCATGTTTCTTGCCTAACAGAAGAATTTACTGAACTCATTGTGGACGGAATACAACAGAGAATCTGTCAAATATGAAAAAAAGGGATTATGTAAAATAAACCTAAATCATATTTTAAAAAATAAAGTGAAAAAACCTAAATTCTATAAAATTCTGAAGAAAAAAAATTCTGTAAAATACAATGCCAATAAACTTCATCCATTTTGCTTGCTTGATCAAAACTTAAAGCAGAATTTTGGAAGACTGCGGAAAAAAAAACCTGGATCATTTCGAACTACCGAGCAGATTTCTGTAAAATACAGTGACAATAAACTTCATCCATGTTGATGCTTGCTTTATCAACAATGTCCAGCATATTTTGAAAGAAATAAAAAGCCAAGACGACAACGTCCATAAAAAGCAAGACAGCGAAATGCGGCAAGGTACCAAACCTTCGAAGCAGATGCTAAGGTGATGCAGTCTGACGTCACGAGAGAAACCCCTTCTTCCGTGAACACACCCTGGATCACTTTGAACAACCGAGCAGGACGGAGGGGATGCAGCGGAGCACGGCAAGGGAACAACTCGCGATTTTGGGGATAACGTCGTGACCTAGATAAGCGACAGAGTGATATATTTGAGGTTAGATTTGTGTTAGGGTGGTGTAAATGAAATATTTATGTTTTAGGTGTTATATATGTAAAATAGGTAATATAAAGTGGTATGGCTGTAAAAACCCCTTTAATTTAAGTAGGATTTCGTAAATCCTCCAAATCCGGATTTACCATATTCTGAGGGGCTGTTTGGTAGCACCCAGGATTTCATTTAAGAAGGATTTCATAAAGCCTCTAAATTCGAATTTACAAAATTCTGAGTGGGTTAAATCATGAAAACTGTTTGACAACATTTATGCTAAATCCTATGTGACTGTTTCGCTATTCAATTAAAGATTTAAGGCGGTTAAAATATTTGACATACATTTCTTGAATAATTAAATCATTTAAGGGGATTAATTATTATTTATAATATTTTATAGCAATTATTTTCATTTAAAATTATATTTAATTCTATTAATTATTTTGAAATAACTAAATATTTAATTAATAATTTTAGTAGTAATTCAATTAGTATTACTTATTTTTTAATATTTTAAATTATATTACTTAATCTCTCCAACCATAACTTAGTTGAAGGAGTCTAGGTTTTGCCTCTCTTATCTATTTCTTTCGGCTTCGTTCCTTCGCAGGAGTGTAAAGTTTTGTACGAGTTCTTCTTCTTCGCTGTTCGACTTCGCTCCTTCAACGACGAGCGGAAGTTACGACATTTTTTGATCGGAAACAACGGGAGCTCGCTTGCTGTGAAGGTAACTTTCTCCCTTTCTTCGACCAAATCCCGCAAATCTGCCGAACCAAAGGATTTCGTAAAACCGGGATTTACCACGAAAAGAAGGAATTTTCCGTCAACCGCGGCTTTGATTTACCGTGAGATTTGGTTTTGCATTTTTGTCCGTTTGGCTGGATTTAGCTCAAATCCGCTTCAAATCCGGTCTAAATCCTTGATCCAAACAGCCCCTAATGCCTAAAATATGATTTCCATGCAGCTGCTTTAGTTGAAGAGAACAAAATTTTGTTCCCAATTCTGTGAGGATGGCATCAATCGTTTCAATGGCAGATATAGAAGCCACTGCGAAGGGTCTAGGGATTGACTTGTCTGCGGTTAATCTTGATTCCATCACACTCCCCCCTGGAGAAGATTTTGGCATCAAAAGGTAATGGTCAAAATATATACTCTCATTCCTGTAGAAGTTATTGCATGCTTGCAGCTATTAAACTCGTTTATGAAATTCCGTAGTGATGATGATGAAGACCTTTATCATGAAGAAGCCCTTGAACTGGAAGCTGGGTTTGGAAATGTGATTGTAGTTGATAATCTCCCAGTCATACCACTGGAGAAGTTTGAGAAGCTTGAAGGTGTAATCAGGAAGATATATGGTCAGATTGGGACGATTCGTGAAGGTGGTTTTTGGATGCCAGTAAATCCTGAAACAAAAAAAACACTTGGATACTGCTTCATTGAATACAACACCAGTCAGGTAGGTAGATTGAATTGAAAATGTATTTTATCCATTTTCCTTTCTTATGTGTATCTGAACGTTGCTACATAAACCTATATTTTGGGTGTTGGTGCCATCATGACATTAGTTTGTGGCCTGAGCTAAGATTAATTATCTTGCATTTTTTATTTCTTTTAGGGGTTGTATGGTTTGAAGTAAAGGGTGTAAAGTATTCCAAATGCAGGGGTTTTGAGAATTTGGTATTTGGGTTGAAGTAAAACAAATGCAGTGTAAATTTTTTATGCATTTGTAATTCACTCTCTAGTTCATTTTTGGTGTATTTGTAATTCCTCTGATTTGGGCGAATTTCAAATACACCATAAATTGATAACTTTTGTTGCCACCAGCCGCCACCACAACCAACTTCCACCATCATCGCTATTGGCTACCGCCACAGCCTCCTGCTACCAACCACTGCAGATCACCGCCACCACTGCTGCAACCCTGCCGCCTGCCACCACCCACCTTCGACCAGTGCCTCCACCATCGCCGCTGCTAACCACCACCACCACCACCGCCGACTGCTACCACCACCCACCACCGCTGACCACCACTAAATATCATGCTCTTTTGACTTTACATTGCAATCATTTTACTTCAACAAAAAAAAAGTAATCTAATGCATTTATTTTACACTCATCCAAACAACTCTAAAGTATTCATTTTATAATGTATTCCTTTTATATTTCATTCCTCTTTCAGGCAACAAAACGACCACTAAGGTTTTTTGAGTTGTGAACAACTAGCTCACTTTAGAAGGGTCTAGAAAATTTCGAAGTTTCATTTTGTTTTTGTACTAATGATATTTATGAGGTCCAGGACAGGAAGTGATCGTGGGTTTTCTTGCATGCATAAAAACGTAGAACTCCCATGTTCAGGGGTATCTCTTTCATTTTAAAGTATATAATTTACAGCTGTTTGCATTTCTATTTTCTCATGATGGCAACTTGTATATTCAGATGTTTGAGAATTAAGTAGTAGTCGCTAGCATATGGATAGCTTGAATGAGGTGTATTCACTTGTTGATGTTATACTTGGATGGATGTGAATCATGTGATTTGTTACCATAGATTGCATCTCACCTACTTGTGAGATGTACTTGTATGATTTTTGTAGCATTAATGAGGAGATCACTTTTTTCCACCGAGAATATTCAGACATTGAGTTAGAGTTGAGGCTTGTGCCAATCTCTGTAGGTTAATATTTTGGCAAAGTTTGCTCCAATTTGTATACTATTGAGCACAATATATGGAGCCATTAGATGCCTGACAGCCAGAAGAGTAAAATAAGCATTTGTGCCTGTAGTAAATCAATGATAAATGATAAAAAGCATTATTATTATTTTTTCATAAATCCAAATTAGAAATGTTGTTGTTATATCTTTGCTTTACCACTTAGAACCTTAACTATGGATAAACGTGGAAATATTTCATTACATGGTCCCAAGTAGTTACTGTCATTGTTCATAATTTGTTACTGGGAAAAACACAATTGGTTTGGTTATATACTCTCAGGTTTTGATGCATGAATTTGCATTGTTCTACATGTTTTGTAAAAAATTGCTTTCCCCGCACAGAAAATTTATGATGAAAGAGTCACATTTGTCTTCCATTTATAGAGAAAATGAACAATTTGATTTGGTGTTGAGGGAAGAAACAAAAATATTTAAGTGGAGATAAAATAAAATTAAAAAGGGTATATTTTCCCTTTTTTTGGTTGGGAGTCTTAAGAGGGAAATCAAAATCATTCTTCTGATTGTTGATTGAGAGTTGAAAGAAAAGAAAGGAATTGAAATATTATAATTGATTTGACATATATACCATCTAAGGCGACTCTCTCTAATCTTATCTTCCACTGGAGCTACTCCAACTTTTTCACGTATATGCTTATTTCGTATCCTATCTCTAAGAGTAAAGCCACTCATCCGCCCGAGCGTCCTCATCTCTGCAACACTTAACTTAGTATTATGATTCTCTCTGAATGGCCAACTTTCGACACCATAAATCATTCCAGGTCTCACCACCATCTTATAGAATTTTCTCTTAAGTTTGAGGGGGACTTTTCCTTCACACAATAAGCCCGATGCATTCCTCCACTTCAACCATCCAACTTGAATTCTGCTGGTAATATCCCCATCTATTTCACCATTACTCTGAATAATAGATCCAAGATATATAAAGCGTGTACTCTTATTAATGACATGATCGCCCAAAGTCACAATCCCTTCACCAGGTCTATTAATGCTAAAATTACACATCATATATTTAGTTTTAGATCTACTAAAGTAAAAATCTTTAGACTCTAGGTTGACCTCCATGATTCTAGTTTACCTTCAACTCCCTCTCTAGTCTTATCTACAAGAAGAATATAATCAGCATAAAGCATACACCAAGGTACATCCTCTTGGAAATGTCTAGTGAGAACATCCATGACTAAAGCAAAAAGATATGGGCTTAAGGCTGATCCTTGATGTAATACAATCGTAATAGAAAAAATACTTGGTCAAACCACCTTGTGTTTGAACACAAGTAATAGCTATTGCATACATATATTTAATGATTTGAATATGAGCATTATTAACTCCTTTCTTTTCAATAACTCTCCATAGTACTTCTCTTGGAACTTTATCATATGCTTTCTCTAAATTAATAAATATCATATGTAGATCCTCCTTATTCTCTCTATATTTCTCCATCAAACCTCTCAATAAATGTATGACTTCCATAGTAGACCTACCTAACATGAATCCAAATTGATTTTGAAAAATATCAGTATAACGCCGCAACCTACGCTACATAACTCGCTCCCATATTTTTAAAGTATGACACATTAACTTAATTCCTATATAATTCACACAAATTTTGTGCATCACCTTTATTATTAAAAATTAGAATTAACACACTCATTCTCCACTCATCTGACATCTTTTTAGCCTTCAAAATAGTATTAAAAAGTTTAGTAAGCCAAAAATTTTCTTTTATCTCCTAAGCATTTCCTCACCTCTATTGGAATATCATCAGGTCCAACAGCTTTTCCACACTTCATTTTCTTTAAAGCCTTTCTAACTTTAGTTTTACTAATACGACGATAAAAATATAAATTTTTATTTTCAATTAGGGTGCTAAGGTCGCTAAAGTCAATCGTATTTTCGCATTCTTTATTAAAAAGTTTACCAAAATATTTCATCCACCTTTGTTGTATATCATCTTCTAAGAAAAGTATTTTTTGATCTTCATCATTTATACATTTCACTTGAACTAAATCCTTACTACACACTTCATTTTCTATGTGAATTCTTCTACATGAAAAAAATGTAGCAAATTTAGAAATTGTTTGATGATACACAATTTTTTTAATTTTTTTTTCTAAAATCAAACATCAATATTTTTTTTATGGTTAGATTGCCCTTCTAAGAAGGATAAAATTTTTTTGTTATGCATTATTTACCTTATTTTTTTTCTCTTATCATATAACAGGACGCAAAATCTGCAAAAGAAAACACGAATGGATACAAGTTAGACAAGTCGCACATATTTGCTGTGAATTTATTTGATGAGATTGAGAAGTATATGAAAATTCCAGATGAATGGACACCTGCTGAAATTAAGCCATATGCACCTGGTGTAAGTGTTCTCCATGCTTATTTTACTTCATATTTTTTTTAAAATTTTAATTATTATTTATTTCTTTTTGTAAGTTTTATAGGGAGTATACATTTTAGATTGAGAAACTGCATTGACTGAAATAATCGCGTTGTCAAGTCTTGTCACAAGATTAGTTGGCGTGCCAAGTGTTTATGATCAAGCTTTGCTTGTTACATAATTTCTGAGTTTTACTGTTGATTGGGTTTTTTGATTTTGAAGAAATCAATCACTATATTCTGGAGAAGCGTTAATGCAATGATATTAAACTGTGGTTCACCTTTTTGAACTTTTAATGCTTTATGACTTAAGCGTGCTTCTGAAACATAATGAAAGAAATTAATTTGCTATAAAATGAAAAACTTTTTCTAATTGATCATTGTGATTGTCATTTTCGTGTTTATTATTTTCTGTTTGTATTGTTATTCTAACACTTACCATAATAATCTCAAAACTCACCTCACTTTTAAAGTTGATACATTTATTAGAGTATTTCATTCATTATAATTCTAGGATGGAAACTAGTGCACTCATTTTTATGTACCTTAAAGTTTACAGATTTTGTAGTAGTTAGCCAAATTTCATCCTGAGGATAGGCCCGGTGATGCCGTTGTGTTTGGTTAAGAGTTAATTCAACCATGCAATTGCTTGTATGTAGGGGTGTTAAAAATTGACACGACATGAAAACTCAACTCGAAATCGACCCGAAATTTTCAGGTTAGGGTCAACCCATTTGGAAAACTGGTCAGGTTCGGGTCTCCAAGTCTGACATGTTTTTGAAATTCCGGGTCGGGTTCGGGTCAACCCGAAAACATTATTTTAATTCGGATTGACTAGGGTGCCAAGCAGTGAGATCATGTGAGCACTTGAGCGGTTAGCTGATTGATTTAGGTTTATGTCTTACGCTCGCGCTCTATTCATTTCTACGCGTATCAGCTCGGGCCTGATATTCATTTCTATTCTACGTGTATCGTCTCTAGTCTGTCGGCTCTCCCCTCTCCTCTCCTTTGTCTTCAATCTCCTCCACCTACAGAGTCCAGCCCGAAGCTTTCCTTAGTTTCGGTTCCTCACTTCCTACTCTTAAGTTCTATTTCGTTCAATTTGTTGCTTGATGGCTGCTGCGTTCGAAGTCACAATTCACGGCTAGGTTTTTTTTTGTGAGTTTTTTTTGTTTATGATTTTTCTTTTTTCATTAGCTATTAGCTCATGTTCTTTCGAATGATCTTGTTTAAGTTTGTGTCGGTCCACTCGTTTTTTGTCTCATTTGCCATTAGGGCATCATTTTTCTCTCAGTTATAATTTTTATTTTTAGGGCTTTGTATTTTTTAGGGTTAATTAGTTCTTCTCTTAAAGGAATAAAGGAATGTATTCCTTGTTGTTGTTGGCTACTTGGCTTGTTAGTTGTTTATACGATTGTACGTGTAACCTGTACTCCTCCTGTAGCAGCAACATTGCATGTAGTCTTCCTCACTCTTCAGGTTGGATAAGTTGATTAAATGCAAGGTAAATGAATAAATGTTCTCAATTTTTTACGTTTTGTATATTTAGTAAAGGTGGGATCGGTGGAGAAGCCTTAAGTTGTTGTTGCTATTGTTATTGTATATTAGTTTAGTTGCTGTTGCTGATTTCATTTTTATCCTTTTGCACTTTGCATTTTCAGTTTGTTGTTGCTGTTATATGCAAGTTTCTGATACATTCTCACATTCTACATCGTTTGCTATTGTTGTGTTGCACTGTGTTTGCACTTTGTTGCCTATTGCTATTGAAATCAAGTTTAAGTTGTTACATTCTTGTGTAAGAGTTTGACATTTAAGAAATAGTTATTCATATTTGGCATATTTGCATTGTAAAATATGGTTTGATTTGTTGGCTAGATAGAGGATTTAAACACCATTCTTGAGAATTTTTTTGATGAGCATGAGCAAGTGGGCAATGGCAATAATGTGATAGAGCCATCTATTGATGCATGTAATGATGGTTCAGAAACTGTTAAATAGCGTAGAAGGATGACTTCAACAGGTTGGGGCCATTTTGAGATGTTTTCTAATTACAAAGATGGTAAACAAATGTGTAAATGTAAGAAATGTGGTGCACAATACCTATGTGATAGCAAAAATGGCATTGGTAATTTAAGGCGCCACTTGCAAAATTGTAAGAAAAGAGATATGCGGGATATAGGCAAGCTTATACTGCTAAGCAACTCTAACTCATCTATCTTTATAGCTGATTATAAGTTTGACTCTGCAGAATTTTGTGATTTATTTACTGCTTGTATCATCATGCATGATTTGCCCTTTCAATGTGTTGAATGGGTTGAGTTCGAGCATTTTTGTTGTATCTTCGTCGAGACCTACAACTATTTTTAGGAATACTGCTAGGAGTGATTGTAAGAAATTATTCACTAAAGAAAAAACTCACATACGATCACAATTATCAAAGTGCACTAGCAAAATTTGTCTAACATCAGACTTATGGACGTCAAGAAACATTGATGTGTTTATTTAATGGTGCATTTTATTGATAATGATTGACACCTACATAAAAAGACCTTAAGTTTTTCTTTCATGCCACCCCCTCATGATGGCATATCAATATTTGAGAAGTTACAATCTCTTGTGTTTTAATGGAAAATAGAGTCCAAGTTATTCAGTATTACTTTGGACAATGCCTTTGCAAACAATGTTTCCATAGACTTCTTAAGAAATTATCTTAATTTATATGGTGGTCTGCTATGTAATGACACATTTTTTTCGTTTGCGAAGCACTGCACATATTATTAATTTTATAGTTCAGGAGAGGCTGAAAGAGATTGTTAGTGCAATCTTAAAAATTAGAGATAGCATCAAGTATGTGAAGGGCTCTCAAGCAAGGAAGCAGAAATTTCTTGATTGTGTTAAGCAGAGTTGTTTAGAATCGAAGAGAGGTTTTAGGCAAGATGCTTTAACAAGATGGAACTCTATTTTTATAATGCTTGATAGTTCTATATACTATCAAAGGGCTTTCCTTTATCTGGAGTTGGGTGATTCCAACTATAAAGCTTATCCTGCTGTTGCATAATAGGAGAGAGTAGAAGCTATTTGTACCTTTTTAGCTCCTTTCTATGAAATTACCTGTGTAATATCTATCACGAAGTATCCAACAACAAATCTTTACTTTCCTTGCATTTTAATTGCTTATTTAGCTTTAAAACATGAACTTTCATTTGGTAATGACTACATTAAAAGAATGGATATAGGGATGATTGGTAAATTTGAAAAATATAGGTCAGAGTTTAGTGACATATTGAAAATGGCAGTTATTCCAGATCCTCGATATAAACTTACATTTGTAGAGTGGTGTTATAGAAGATTGTATGTAGGTGATTATGCATTTGAATTAAAAAAAGTTAAGAGAGAGATTTTTATCATTATTTGCAAACTACACAAAGGGAAGTGGTGAAAGTTCCAATGCAACACAGAGGAGACATAATGATGTCTCTAGAAGCTCTTCTTCTACTATCATTAAGTCACTATTTCTTCAAGTATTTGTTATGCTACAATCATTTTTTTTAGTTATTCATATTAGTGTTTTAGTTTGATCAATAAAATTTAAAATTTGAGATTCCAAAACAGGATTTTGATTCATTCGAAGAGAAATCCATTTTGCCTAAAAAGTCAGAACTCAAACTCTACCTCGATGAACCTAAACTTTATAGGAAAATTTAGTTAGATATATTAAAATTTTGAAAAGGCAATCAATATAGATTTTTTGAAGTCTATGCAATGGCTCGTGATGTGTTATGCATTACCATAGCAACAGTATCATCTAAAAGTGCCTTCAGTAATAGTGTCATAATCCTAGATTAGTATTAAAGGGCACTTAAACATGATATAGTTGAGGCATCGGTTTGTGTCAAGGATTGGTTGTATGGAGAAAATTGTGTAGTATCATATAACCTATTGAATTTCTCCTTTAATTATTTTTTCTTGCACTTCAATTATTTAAGAGGTTAAATTTATTTATTGCAGTAGTAAATGATCCTGAACTTGAAGCTGTGATTGAAGGTATACTAAATTTAAATATTAACCAAGTCAAAGAAGATCCTGATAAAAATTCAGTCATTAGATAATTTTTCATCCTCTCTAAACCTATTTGTGTTGGCTGTTGGCCAGTTGCTAGCTGTGAACTGAATTTATTGTAGGCTGTTGGGTCTTGGGTGTTGGCTGTTTGCCTGTTAATGGCTGCTAGCCTGTTGTTGGTTGTGAATTGAATTTATTGTCGCCTTCTGGCATGTTGCAATTCTGAATTGAATTCATTGTTGATTTTATTTTTTTTATATATGTTTTTTTAAATCTGTAATATAAACTAAGCTGACAACTGGTTGGATGTTGCTGATTTAGTGATTTTGTACCTGTAGCCTGTCGGTTGAAGCCTCTTATTGCTGTTGGATAATTTATTTTTGGGTTGTAGTGGTTTCCAAATGGTTGGCTGTTTCAATATTTAGTTGTTACTGAACTAGTGAACTTACTAGCTTAGTTTATATTACTGAACTTATATTGTTAGTCACTATTAGGGGTGCAAACGAGTTGAGTTGAGCTCGAGTCAAGCTCAATTGTCAAATAATGAGCTCGAGCTCAAACTCAAGTCGAACTCAAAATTTGAGCTCGAAATTGAGCTCATCCCATTATAAACGGGCTCGAACCGGCTCGTAAACCTCGACGGGTGTTCGAGTCAAGCTCGATTGTCAAATACTGAGCTCGAGCTCAAACTCAAGTCGAACTCAAAATTTGAGCTCGAACTCGAGCTCATCCCATTATAAACGGGCTCGAACCGGCTCGTAAACCTCGACGGGTTTTTTAAATATTATTAATTATTTTAAATATTGAAATATTTAAATTTTTATTAAATATTCCAAACATTTATTATTAATTTATTTTTATTGAACCGGCTCCTGTTCAAACATTTGTTTTTCCATTTTGCTAATTGCTATTGCTGATTTAATGCTTTTGAAATAAGCAAAATTATTCTATGTTAAGAAAAATTTGAAGTAGCACTAATATTTTTTTTAAAAAAGTAAATCTACTTAAATTTGGATTTTTTTAAAACAAAATCGGATTTCCGGTCATTTCAGGTTGACCTGATACTCGATTGGGTCAGGTTCGGGTTAATAAAATAGACCTGAAATGCTAATCATGTTGGGTCTGGGTTGGGTCAAAACAAGGCGGGTTAAAGTTGGGTTTGACCCGAACCCGACCTGTTTTGACACCCTGCATGTATGGGCATATGCCTTTATAGTGGTGGACATGTGGCCTCTTGGGATGGTTGCGGTTGTTTTTTGGAGTCATGTACATTGATGTTCCTGGATAGTGGAGGCAATGTGGCCACTTGGGATGGGTGTGATTCTTTTGGGGTCATGCACATTGATGTGCTTCTTGTATTTCTTTTGATTTATGAATTGATTGTTTTTTTTTTATTTGGAAACATTTCTCATGGCAGTGTTCCCTGTTTATGTATTCATGCACACCTAATCGTTGAATGTTTCTTAGTGCTTATGTTAACTGATTTATCATGTAATTTTTGCGTTGAAGAAAAACCTGGTTACATATTAAAACCTAACTTTTGAAATTACTAAGCATTTATCTTAAATCGCTTTTTATGCTCTACCTCTACAATGTACTTTCACATTTAAAAGTACAACTATTTGATATATGTTATTGGATGTCTATCTAAGAATTGCTTTGTATGCATCAGTGTCCATTCTTGCACTTCAATATGTCTATCTCGATTCTCGATTGATTCTTTCTAAAATTATTTCTTTGTTAATTTGATGAATCTATTGTACTATGATTGGGTTCTACACACCTAACTCTGGAGGCATTTTTCTGACAGGAAAATCTACAGAAATGGTTGACGGATGAGAAAGCTAGGGATCAATTTGTTATCCGTGCTGGTCCCTTCACTGAGGTCTTTTGGAATGATCCCAGACAGTTGATGCCAGAACTTGTTTACCGCCGTCAAGTAAGTGAATGTTTCTTTATATTCCTTTTTTTAATTTTCTTAGTTTGTTTATGTAACTCGAAATCTGAATTTTTCTGCGCTGAATTAGTTAATCTGTTAATGGTATTTAGTTCTTGCCAGTTTTACTTGGCATGATAGTTAATCTGTCCTCATAGCAGGTTTTGCTCAAACCATATGTATTTACACATGTTAGGCTATTTTACTCCTTTAAATTCCATGTTTGCTTGGTTGGAATGTATTAACTGATATTCTGAACGTTGCCACAGATTTCTGGTTATTTCTAGTTGCATACAATTGGTACAAGTAAAATATATTTCATTGCTTTTATTTATTTTCACGGTAAAGTAGCATTATTGTATCTGGATAAAGATTTCATAAACTGGCATATTGGAGGATCTTTAGGATTCTAGACTAGCACAACATATATTAAATTGATGAACTTGACAGCTAAGACTCGGTTTGAGTTGCAAGGAATATTTTTGTCCTTGGTGCTTTGTTTGTAAGTCAGGCCAGTTTAATTTCTAAATTGATAAGGCCTTATGTTCTTTAAAATAGGTTTGTAGCACCTACTTTGGCTTTAGTTTCTGATTATTTTCTTGGGGACTGCTTGGATAGGCATAAAGTAATTATAAAGTAATGCAGTGATGAAGTAATACAGGAACATTAAATTAATCACTGTTTAGTATGTTGTTAAGTTATTGTATATAGCTCTAGGTACCATTTAGGCTCATCTCTTTAATAAAACCCCTTCAAAGTATGAAGCCAATGTGACTGCATTTACTTGGATTTTAGTTTGCATTGCAAAGAATCATTTCACACTAAATACTTAGAAAATTTAAAAAGGAATATATATATATATATATATATATATATAATCTCGCTGTCAAGCCCATCCTCTTAGCTACCGTTAATAATTATTATGGGGGTCTCATTATAAATTGAAAGTATCAATAGATCCGAGAGCTTCTGAAATACCTCTAAAATTATGTATATGTGGTTTGAGGTAACAAAAAATGGGGTATCAAGAAACAATATCAATTAAAGTGTCGGTTGCAAATGACAGCTCATCCAATGGCAGTTGCCAATGTTCTCTATGACTACGTCATATACATAATACTTGTTTATGCAAGTCATCGCAAGCTGATTATATTTCATGTCTTCATCCGACATTAATTAGACTAATACTCAGATGTAGCTACAGCCAGAAAATTTTTCATGATCTATCGAGCTCAGATAAAATGCTATTTGTTATCTGAATCCTTGAGCTAAGAGAAGAAGTGGCGAAGATATAAACAAAGCCATTTGAATCTGTGCAAGAAGCAGTAACTTTGTTTAAGCAAAAGATTGATCCTAAAATATGCTTGGATGCACAATTTAGAGAAGGCACTCGGATGAAATGGAGGATTGATCTAGAGAATGAACTAATGAAACATATGATAATTTCTGAATACTTACACATGGAATTAAAGCAGTCAAAAGAAATTGAGGAGGAAGAGGAAAGAATGAAAGAAGAAGTTTAATATTTAGTTAGGTGAAGATAAATGGTATAAATTGCCAGATTGATATGCTTGTGGGTGAAATTCAGAGGGTGCAATAAAAAATGTCTAAGAGCAAAAACAAGGAGTTAGAATTCCAGCCAAATGCTGTTACTATCACATCAGAGCCTCATAATTCTAGCAGCAGGATTGATGCTGCTAAGGATTCAGAAGCGAGGTCTATGCCCGCACAGGTAGGATTGAACTAGGCAATCCAACATCCAGCAATAGAAGCTAAGAAGGCGGAAGTTGAAGTGCGAAGAATGGCTGGGTATAATAAAACAGAGACAGAAAAAAAAGGGGGATATACAAAAATCTGTGATCTCTCATTATTAATAGCTTTATAAAATCTTCAATAAATTACTCTTTTACATGTTCTGTGCGCTAAAGGATGAATGAAGAATATTTGAATAAATGCCATAGGTTCTAAATATCTATATATGGCTATTCATATGGTATGCGAGGCCTCTGGTTCATGAATTTCTCGTCAGTGGGCTAACAAATAAAATGTGCTAGAGTTTTACCTTTTTTTGGAATGAAACCCGTAAGAGAAAAAAACTGCTCATCATGGCCATGTTTGCACGTCTACAACATCTAGCCGTTGGCATATAATTCAATTCAATTCCTATAAAAAAGAAAACAAATGAGCAGTTTTCACACTTACTGGCAACTGGAAGATTGATGATTTCATGCGATTCCGCTTGGATTCGGCTCCCAACTTTCGTTCTCAAAACCTTCCGACCTTCCTTTAATCTTCAAGCGACCACAACAGTGAGTCCGGGACAAATCCGAGCCGCATCTCCTTAGCCTCACCTGCGCTCTAGTCCCATCCGACTCACATGAGCGACACCCGCTTCCGTCTGCTTCCTGTATCGAGTCTGGCTTCACCTAAGCGAACCAAGAATGACTTTCGTTCGTTTGATTGCACGCAAAAAGAAGCCGCACGTTCGTCTGCCTCCGTCCGGTCTCCTCCCTCCTTTGAACGGAACCCATGTCCACCCAACTCACGTGAAAAGAGCTCGATTCTAGTCTGTCCCACACACGGTTACGAGCTAGCTGGACTTTCGTCAACCTCTTGATCGAATTTGGTCTGCGTCGCCCACTTCCTTATGTGTTCGCACGACGCCTCCTGGTCCCGATCCACACATGAATCAAATCACACCCCACGTTCAAGCAATGGGATCTACCTTCTTTTGCGTACGAAACCCACAGTTAGGATTCGATCTGTCTGTTCAGCTTGCTTAAACGATTCAGTGCAATCCGCCCTCGGTCTCTTGAAATTTTGAGTAAAGAGAAAGAAGAGAGATTTGTTGTTAATTAACTATTATTATTAGTAGAGTTATTATTAAAGAAAGGCAAAGGCTACGATCCTTAAATCAGAAACTACAATCGCCAATTAGAGGAACTGAAGATCAATTCTAGGACCAAGTAACCTTCCGAAGGCTTCGACCGTTGATTATCTTTCTGGCTGGGCGGACTAAAAGGGTGAATGCCTTCCCCTACCTCCCCTCGCAGGAATGGGAGTCCGGGTGGCTGCCGAAATTTCCCTAAAAAATATTAGAGTTGATTTTTTTGAAAAAAAAAAATAAACGCTTAATTGATCAATTTAATTTTAAGTATAATGAAATTTTCAACTTAAAATTTAATTTAATTAAACCATTTTAGGTTAAGTGAACAGTCTAATCAAAATTTAAATCATTAAAATTAATTTGAAATAAAAATCAAGCCTGATTAAATATTTTAATTAATTAAAATTAAACTTTAATCAACTAATTTCTACCCAGCTTCTGATTTGTGGGAATGCTCTTTTGGTGACAGTTTTCTTTTTTGATTCAATCATTTTCCTTAGCTATGCTGAGACAGCAATCTAACGCTAAATCTAGTAAACAAGGAGTCCTCGCTTAAGTCTGACTTCCATTAAATTGTTAATTTGATTCAAAATATGACCAATTAATCAACAAAATTGAGTAATTAAATTAATTAAGCAAGAGAAAAAATTAATTAATTAACTAATTAAAAATACCAATTTTTGATGAATGAGACCTTCAAAGCAGTCCAGAATTGCATTTAATGTCATTTGCTTATCTTTAATTATATATTAGCGAATATTTAAAAAAAAAATCAATCTGAGGCCTTTCCATTTTTTTGATAGTATTGGACTGAGAGCTTCGTCCAGTGGTCTCCATTGGGGACATACCTGGCCACAGTTCATAGGCAGGGTGCTGCTATTTGGGGAGGTGCAAGCACATTTAACCGTTTGATGAGATTTGCACATCCACAGGTTCCCATCTTTCCTGATTTAACTCTTATCAATATTATAAGTTATGCTTTATCTCCTGACCTGGTTGAAATACTGTTATATGATATAGGTCAAACTGATTGATTTTTCTCCCGGAGAGAAATATATTGTTACTTACAGCAGCCATGAACCCAGCAATCCTCGTGAAAAACATGTAAGTAAAAACTAAGGATGTTTTCCTAGTTTGATAAATTATGTTCGAGGTTACCTTACTAAGGCTTCGTTTTGGACGACTTTCATACTGCTTTTTAAAGCAGCTTTTTAGTATAAAAATTAAAATTTTTATACTTAAAAGCTGCTTTAAGAAGCATTAAAAAAGCTGTCCCAAACAAACCATAAGTTAAATCATAAATGTATCTGATTTTATGGACAGTGGGTACTACTGAATTTTTTTGATTTGAGAACTGGAAAACTGATGCGGGATTTCAGAGGAAATGCTGATGACTTTGTATCAGGATCCAGCAATGTTACTGGAGTCTCTTGGCCTGTGTTCAGGTGATTATTGGATGTTCTTATGATGTGAGGTTTTTGCCTCTAAGCATATATAATTTCCTGGCTTGTTGTACCGCAGATGGGGTGGTGGCAGGGAAGACAAATTCTTTGCCAGACTCGGAAAGAATGTAATATCTGTGTATGAAACTGAGACATTCACGCTTATAGATAAGAAATCTCTGAAGGTTGAGAATGTGGCAGATTTCACTTGGTCTCCCACTGATCCTATTATTGCATGCTTTGTTCCCGAGCTTGGTGGTGGAAACCAGCCTGCAAGGGTAAGTAGGAATTTATATCTCAATCATTTATTCTCATTCAACTAAATTGAACGTTTTCATGATTTTCCTTATTTCAGGTAAGCCTTATCCAAGTTCCAAGCAAAGAAGAGATGAGGCAGAAGAACCTGTTCAATGTTAGTGATATTAAGATGTACTGGCAGAATAATGGGGAATACCTTGCTGTGAAGGTTGATCGCCATACTAAAACTAAGAAGAGTACCACAACTGGCTTTGAATTGTTCCGAATAAAGGAAAGAGACATCCCAATTGAGGTGCTGGAGCTTGAAAATAAGAATGACAAGATAGTGGCTTTTGCATGGGAACCAAAAGGCCACAGATTTGCAATCATCCATGGCGACGGCCCGAGGCCGGACATCAGCTTCTACTCGATGCGAACCGCTCAAAATGTTGGTCGTGTCTCGAAGCTCGCTACCCTTAAATCGAAGCAGGCGAATGCTCTCTATTGGTCTCCTGCAGGCAGATTCCTTGTTCTTGCAGGCCTGAAGGGTTTCAATGGCCAGCTAGAATTCTACAATGTCGATGAGCTTGAGACCATGGCCACTGGTGAACACTTCATGGCAACGTATATCGAGTGGGATCCAACTGGAAGGTAATTTTTCAAATTTCATTTTCCTAAGCTAGAACATAACTTATTCAGCCGTTGCTGAATATATATTTGCTGTAGATATTGTGCAACATCTGTTACATCAGTTCATGAAATGGAGAATGGCTTCCATATTTGGTCTTTCAATGGAAAGCTGTTATATCGGATTCCAAAGGATCAGTTCTATCAGGTAAAAAATACTTTTTTTTTTTCATGTTTGCTTGAGAAATTATACAATGGCGGATCCTTTATTTGAGCATTTAAACAGTTCTTGTGGAGGCCGAGGCCGCCCTCTCTACTGAGTCCTGAGAAGGAAGAAGAGATATCGAAGAATTTAAAGAAGTACAGCAAGAAGTATGAGGCAGAGGACCAGGATGTATCGTTGCAGCTTAGCGAGCAGGATAGGAAGAAGAGAAAGATGATTCAGGAGGAGTGGGATCAATGGGTGGCTCAATGGAAGAAGTTGCATGAGGAGGAAGAGCAATTAAGGCTCGCGCTTCGAGATGGAGAGGCGAGCGACGAAGAGGAAGAGTACGAGGCCAAAGAGGTTGAGGGAGAGGAGGTGATTGATGTCACAGAGGAGATTGTAGATTCTGATGAAGATCAAGACTGAAAAAAACAACAGGTCTTTCTCTCTATTATCCTCCCCTTAGTGAATTGGTTTAAAGATCTATTTGGGGCTGATTTTTCAGCATCCGTTTTTCATATATTGCCACAGTTATGTTCGGCTGTAGTTTTTAGTTGCTTTTCAGATGGTGGAAATCGATTTCTTATAATTAAGGTTTTGTTTTGGATGGTTTTTTTAATGATTTTTAAAATGGAGTTTTAGTACAATAGTTTCTAGTAATTTGTACTTTTTGATTGTTTGGTTTGTGAATCTACTATTATGATAGAAATGATTTTAGATTGGGCTGTTTAAGAAATTTAACTAGTGGTAATGGACTATATAAAGGTGTTATCTTTGATATACTAAAAAATAGGTAATATTCTTAGAAAAAAGGTTCTTGAAATATATTTAGTCTTCATTTGGGATTGACTTTCTTTCTGCTTTTTAAATCAGATTTTTTCTAATACATAAATTTTAATTTTTATATCAGAAAATTGCTTTAAGAAGAAATAAAAAAACAATATCAAATGAAGACTTAATCATTAATGCTCTATTGATTTTTCTTTTCAGGACTTTTCATGCAAAAAAAAAATGCGGTCTCTTCCAAATCGTACACCCCCTTCTTATATGTATACGTGGGCTGGATCTTCATGTAAAGCTCGAACGTTGAACTCTATATCATTTTATCATTGAGAATGTTTTGACAAGCAATAATATCCATGGGTCTTTGCTCTCTGGATTCCTCCTCACTTCTTGCTCTATCAAAATTTAATAGGTGGGCCCATTGAAATCTTGATCAAATTAAAAATGTCATATTATTTGACTCTTATTTTTTTAGAATTTTGTATTTAAGTGAAATATGAGATTTAATAAAAAATTGAATAGAGTTTTTGGATGTGATGTAATAACTATTATATAATTGACTTCAAGAATCATATAAAGCTTAATAAGCTTAATTTGATTATAATATCTAATTACAGTTACATAATCTATAGAAAATTTAATTAATCTAATTAATTCTTAGTTAATGAAGTTAAAATCTTAATAAATTATTATTAATAATTTATTAAACTAATTGAGTATAATTTTCTATTTAGTCAAATTATGTTAAAATTATATTAATTTGGTTAAATTAATTTATTTTAATAAAAATTTGATAATTAAAGTTGATTTAATTTTTTCACTTGATTATAAATTAAAATAATTTAATCAATACTTTTTTTTTGTAATTTTAATTATTCAAATTAAATTATCAATAACATAATACATGTCACAAAATTTTTATATATTTATATCTATAAAATTGAAATATAATAGTTAAATTAAATTAAAAATAATATTAATTTAACTAATTAATATTAGTGAGATTTGCATACATACTACTTTATATTATTCTATTTATATATTTAACATTTAAAATTTTAATATTACATATATATAACACATATTTGATATTAAAATAATAAATATAAAGTGGTATTTATGTATTATTAAAATTTTAAATATATGATGTTTTCCTTTATAAATTTATCTCTTTCACGTTGCCGCTGCAAACCTAAAAATCCTTCTTCCTCTTCTCGCGCTATGGAACTTAGCTGCCAAAGGCGTCGACGGAGCCGTCCGCGTTTGAAGGCGGATGGGAGTTCGGGAGACGTGCGTATTTAGGTTAAATTTCTTAACTACCGAATTGAGATGGACAGTCCGCCGTGGAAACAGGAGAATGGGCGCAGCCTATTTTGCGATATTTGTGGCTGCGAAGATTTCAAAGGCAGCGACGACGGCTTCTTTTACTGCTTGCAATGCGGCTCTCAGAGTCAGAACGTTGTGGACACGCAGGCCGATGCCGATGATGTCTACGGTGAGGGCGGTGTCGGAGCCGTCTACAACATGTTCTACCACCGTGCCAAAGGCCGATCCTCGCTATCTTCCTCGAAGCCCAATTTTAAGCTTCCTTCGAAGGAGGATATTCTCGGCTCTCGCACCCAATCCGCTGTGGACTCTTCCAAGGAGGAACCCCTGGCTAGCCACTACGGGTTCGAGGACGGTTTGTCGTCCCCACAGGATTTTGGCACCCGGGATTACAAGGATACGGAGAAGGCAGTCGGCGAGACAAGATTGAGGTACGTGCAGGGATTGCAGTTGATGTTGCAGCTGCAGTGCGAGGCCTTGGTGGACAAGTTTGGGGTCAGTGCTTTGATTTGCGGCATGGCAATAACAATATGGTTAAGGTATGTGGCGGTCTCTAGGGTTTTTGATGTTGATTGGGTGGAGAGGGTTATTAACGATGCCAGGGTGGCGGCTTCCGCAAGGTCGAGGGAAAAGAACTATGTGAAAGGCAAGCTTCTGTTTCACATATGCTATGCTTTTGTTATATTGGAATCCTTTTATTTCGGGTTGTGGTTTAGATGAGTTTGGCGCTTGTTCATATTGAGCTTATTTCTGTCTGCTTCATGCTTCATTTATGCTATCAACGCCGCTAAAGAAAACGGGCTGGCAGTTTTGTTAAGCAAATATCCGCGTCTTCTATTATTAAATAGTTTTATTTATACCGTTAAATAATTCTCAAATTAGTTAATCGTAATATTGAAATAAATCATAAAATTTTAACCATATTTCGGTTATTTGGGGATTATGGTAAACCAGTAGCTATCATTATTTCATTTTTGTCCTAAATTTAACTTGAACATATATTTTAACAAAAGAAAAATTTGATATCATCAAACAAAGATCATTTTAATCATCGTCTACTATTGCCCATTTGATATATATTTCAAATATTATTTAAGTATTAATAAGTCATAACAATACTCTTTTTTTATTCTTGATTCTATATGACTAGATGTGATGGATTTGCTCAATTATAATATTCGAATGGGTCAGATGATAATTATATTGCAGCTTTTCTTGAATTGTTAATTGTTTGTTGGGTTGGATAAGATCTTTTGTTCATGGAATTTTCAGTTGATTATTGGAGTAAGTCGGACAAAATCATTAGGCTCAGGAGCCATTCTAAATTATTCGCTCATTCCTTTTTATTATTCATATGAGCTACAACGCATATATGTGGCTAAAACTCCTAAGCTTTATTTGTTGAATTGATGTCTATCTTGACAGTCACTAAAAGTACCAAAACAATTTAAAAATTCATATTTATCTTAGTTCATTTGCATGAGGAGATTCACATGTACCCATGTGCAAGTGCAAGCTTAGAGATAAGTCAAACATATAGTTGTACTGGTACTCTTTTAATTCTGGCTTATAATTATCAATGGCAAGTTCATAATATTAAAAATCTTTGATTGGAACAGTTTTTAGAACATAGTTATTAATAGATTTTGCCTAGTAGCTTAGTTTGTGAATCAATTATTAGCGTAGAAATGATATTAGATTGGGTTGGTGTTATGTTTGTTTAGTAAGATATTTATCTGCTGGTGATGAACTATATGAAGAAGGTGACATCTTTGATATACTAGAAAATATGTAATATTCTTAGAAAGAAGGTTATTGAAATATATTTTGTTATCTATGAATGTTTTGGGAGAATTATTTTTCACTGCATGGTTAATATCAAATGTAAGTTCACTAATGAATGTATAAATGTTAATTCATGGTTCTTTAGACCAATAAATCCATATACTGATATCTTGAAACTTATAAAGTAATTAACCACTTTTTGTTTTTGTTGTTTAAAGTTATTGTGTTCAATAATTACTTATAATTTTAGGTTTTGTAGGTGTTTTTGTTCAAACATATAGTTGTACTGGTACTTGATGGGAACTAGAAAGATCTAAACCCAATGGAGAACACAAAAGAAAGTATGACACGTCTCAATTCAAAACTTAGTAAGTATATCACCAAATAAACATGAAACAAATTGAAATTTTTTTTTTAATTTTTTGAAACTAAAAATAAAAGAAAATACCCTCAGAACAACCAACTAGTAGTCACCTCACATGTAATGATAAATATGTTAATAGAATGCCCAAGGACATGCAAACTAGTGGTCCACCACACAGCAATTTTGATCCAATGTCAGCCACGACTCCTCTGGCAAATACTAACAAAACTGTTCAACTAACACCACTCACACTTTTAGAAGAAGGATACAATGGGATGGGAACTTGTGGAGAGAAAAATTAGATAGAAGATTTGGAAGAAGAAATAAGTAGAGAAGAAGTAGCTCTCAAGCTAGAGAAGAAACCCTCAGATTTTAGAGTTCTTTTCACCTCCAAAAATTGTCTTTACAGCAGCCCAAAACACCTCCTTAAATAGGAAAGAAAAGGAGACCAACAGTTAGCCACAATCGCCCATACAACCAACAAAAAATGGAAAAAAGGCAGTATTTAAGGCACGGCTGAAGCCCAAAATCCGAACCACCATAGCCAGGAAAATCGGGAAAGCCAGGGAACAACAACAGGACATGAATAGCCAGGCCAAAGGAATCAAGAAAGCCATAGAAATCGAATAGCCACCAAGCAGACAGCAGACCATCCGCCCCCACCTCCCCCATCAAACCCAAATTAGCCCAAACACAAAGCACCTAAAGAAGCTAGCATACCAAAGGAATAACATGTCCAAAGAGCACCCAAATCATACATGTTCATCGGTCGCCTTCTATCATTGTGTAAACAAAAATTAAACTAAAAAATTAGAATAAAATAACATAAAATAAAAGTATCTTAAAACATGAGCATGAAGCATTGAATGCATCAATTCCCCTCCCGGTGGGAGAATCTCATCTCCTGATGAGAATGCTTCACTAATGCGTTGATAGATATCAGGACGACGAGATTGAAGTTCCACCGCTTCAATCCAAGTACAATCAATCAACGGACGTCCACTTCATTTTACTAGGAATCGCTTGTGCACTCCATGCCTGGTTTGGGTGATCCTAATGTCTAAAACATCTTCAATATGATCATCTTTGGTCTGAACTGGACTGGTAACTGGTAAGGTCTCTAAATCCACATAATTAGCTGGATTTCCTTCATATAAAGTAAGGTCAACAACATTAAATACCGGTGAAGTTCCAACAGAAAGTGGAAGATGCAGTAGGTAAGCATTTATTCCCAATTTTCAAAGTATCTAAGAAGGCACAAATTTTTTTCGGCTTAACTTGCCAAAAGTTCCAATAAGAAAGCGCTGTCGTCGAAAATAAGCCTTAACTAGTTCACCTTCTTGAAAATAACACTCTCTCTGGTGTTTGTCAGCAACAATTTTGTATTTAATATTTGCCATTTGGAGTTTCCTAGGACCTAATGTTGGATCAATTTAATTTGATCAACAATTTTTGTAGCTTCAACACTGATTTTATTAGGCATGGGTATACAAGCTCAGTCTAAAATATGAGAAATAGGCTGGCCATAAATGATTTCAAAAGGGGTCTTTCCAGTAGATCGGTTAATAGAATTGTTATAAACAAATTCAGCTTGGGGTAAAATCAAATCTCATTGAGAAGGTTTCTCACCAACAAGACATCTAAGCAAGCTTCCTAAACTTATGTTGACAATTTAAGCTTGCCCATCTGTTTGTGGGTGATATGTACTATTGAATTGGAGAGTAGTCCTTAACTTTGACCAAAGTGTTCTCTAAAAATGGCTTAAAATCCTAGCATCCCTATCGGAGGTGAAAGTTCTGGGTATGCCATGGAGTCTCACAATTTTTGTAAAAAATAGACCAGCAACATGTGAAGCATCAGAGGTTTTTTTTACAAGGAATAACATGTCTCATTTGCTAAATTGATCTACAACAACAAACACAGAGTCAAATTTTCAAGCAGTAACATGCAATCCTAAAATGAAGTCCATGGAGATATCATCCCAAGGTTTATTCAGAATTTGAAGAGGAGTATATAAACCATTGTTTTGAATTGTTCCCTTGAAAGATTGACAAAATTTACATTGTTTTACAAATTTGATGATTTGTTTTTTCATGTGAGGCCAATTATATTTTTCTTCAATTAAAGCAATGATTTTTCCTTGGCCAAAATATACCCCTAATCCTCCACTGTGAAGTTCTTAAACAAGTTGTTCTCGTAGTGAGCTTTGGGTGATACAGAGTCTAGTTCCTTTAAACAAAAATCTTTGTTGATTGATAAATTGTGCAGAAAGATCAGTTCCCGAAGTGCAACATGATTCCCAAATATCTTTAAAATCGAGATCAGTGGCATAATTTTCTTTTAAGGAATCTAATGAAGTTATTGATGCAGGACTACGTAAGAGTAATGCTTTTAACTCATTTGGATTTGCACAACTTATGATTAGAATAATGTAAGAACACAACTATTAGCGAATTTAAACAATTGATCAAAACAATTTAGTGGTTATCCGCTTAGGCCAAATCATATGGTGAGAGTTTTGAAACTTCCAAAAGAAATAGAAAATAACACAATGATTATTAGTAGCTTTCAAAATAATCCCTAGTCTAACAGTGAAAAGTAGAAAGCATAGAGATGCACTTAAATCCTACGTTTACTAAGCTTAAGCTAGAGTAATGCAAATGAGTCCGTCGTGACTGCAATCAAACCAAGAAAAGTTAGACTAAAAGATAAAAGATGCAAGGAGGAAGAGGAACCTTCGTCAAGGAGTAGTGGAGACCCTCCACTCGACGCCTTCGAAGTGTTTGTCGATAGCTTCCACCAAGGTATCTAGAATTCTCTCCAAGTAATCTTCGACGGTGTGGTCAATCCTCGGGTTCACGTCGAAGAAGGTTGATCGTAGGATGTCAGTGAAACCGTCTTCGTCCCAAGTCAAACCATGCTCAGTTTCTGGATCCGCCATGCATGAGGAGTAGGTAGCAAATCTTCTCTTCGAAATCTGAGAACAGTTTCAGATTTCGTTCCCAAACCTGAGAGAAGTTCAGATTTCTCTCTTGAAACAAATATAGAGTTTGAGAGAGACGGTGTGGGTTTTAGAACTCAAGTGAGGGGTTGCTTGTGAGGAGAGAAGGTGGGGAAAGAAGCAACCAAGAAGGGCCTTTGAAAGTCTTGGCCAGCAGCAGCAAGTTTGCTCTCCAATTCTTCCCAAAGAGGAGCAAAGTATTGTGGACAGATTTTGAGAAAATCTGTAACATGATTGACGGGAATATATGGAGAAATTAGGGAGTTAATTCCTAATTCCACTACAGATTTTGGAAAGTGAATAATGGCTTGGGCTTAAAAGAATTTCGATTGGTAAGAGAGGGGAATTATTTCCAAAGAGGCTTAGTAAGAAATTAGGAAATAAATCCTAATTATCCATACAGGGGGCCGGCGGCTTGCAAAGCCTGGGAGGGGATTTCGGGAAGGGATTTGGGTTGCATAACTTGGGATTTAGGATTTTGGAAAGCAGTAAATAA